CCAAGCAAATCGGGTCCAGCCCATGGTTCAGCCTAGACCAAATCAATCCCGATTTGATCCCAGTTCAGCTAGTTTCTATGGTTCAGACCAATTCATTTAGTTGTTGCTCCGGTTCAGCAGTCCAGCCAGTTTCTGTCGTCCAGTTCAGCTAGTTTTGTACCTCAGTTTTTACTCCGGTTCAGCGGTCTAGCGAGCCTAGCCTGTTCGGTTCAGTGGTCCAACAAGTCCAGCCTGACCGATTCAGCGGTCCTATGACTTCTGTTAAACTCAATGGGACCAATTATACTTTATGGTTCTGATCCGTTCAAGTCTTTATTCTAGGCAAAGGATTTAAGAAATATTTTGTAGATCCTAAACCCAAAGAAGATACTCCTGGGTATGACTAGTGGGAACAAGAGAACGCTCAAATTATTTCTTTACTATTGAATAGCAGTGAGCCTAATATTAGTTCTACTCTGCATTATCTTGACACTACCAAGGAGATATGGGATCACTTGGCTACTATGTATTCTAGTATCGGGAATTTTACCCGTGCTTATGAGGTATGCAAACAATATTTTTGCCTAGAGCAGTATACTCTGAGTCTTGAAGATTATTACTCTCATGTTTGGGGAGTTTGTGAGGAGATGAAGTTTTACCATCCATTTACTACTGATGCAACAGTTTGACAGAAACAATATGAAGATTTAAATGTTATTACGATTTCTAGTAGGTTTGAAGCCTGAATATGAGTCTATTCACTCTCAGATTTTGGGTGACTCCAGTCTTTCTTCTCTATTTGAGGTTTTCTCTCGTTTACGGCATGCTTCCTTGTCTACTACTCCATTAGGCATTGATTACGGCGTCTCCACCGATCACTCAGCTCTTGTAGTTCCTAATAACCACAGTGATGGTAATCAAGGTAGCCGTGGTAATCATGGTGGTCGTGGAGATTGGAAAGGTCGTAATGGAGGCTGTAGTGGTGGTCGTGGGGGCCATAGTGGCTCTCGTTCTTGTGGTCGTGAAGGCACCCTATTAACTTTTGTTAGGCTTTACATGAAAAATCCTCCAGTGCTGCTAATCAGGCTTCCTATCAGGATAACACCTCAGTTGTTGCCTCTGTACCTTGGCCTGCTCCACCTGACTCTGGGTCAGTTACTATTACACAGAAAGAGTATGCTCAGTTCCTATCCGAGCAACAGGCTAGTCCGTCTTCCTCCACAGCTACTTTTGCCTAGTCAGGTACCGCATCCACTTGTTTATTGTCCTCCACCCGCAATCCTTAGATCATAAACTCTGACGCGTCTGACCACATGACTGGTGCGTTTGGTGTTTTTTCTACTTATCAGCATGCTACTTCTACACACAATATTACTCTTGCTAATAATACTTATTCTAAAGTTTCAGGTTTGGGTACTACTCATTTGAGTCCTGATATGTCTCTATCCTCTGTATTATTTGTTTTTCAATTTCTTTTTAGTTTACTTTCTATTAGTAAGATTACTCATTCCCTGAATTGTTCCGTAATTTTTTATTCCTCTCATTGTGTGTTTCAGGATCTCAAGACGAAGAGAAAGATTGATACGGGATATGAAGCTGGTGGACTATATTACTTTGACTTTAATTTACCTACTCGGGCTCTACAGACCTCATCGTCCCCCTTTCAGTGGCATTGTCGTCTTGATCATCTCTCTCTCCAGAATCTGAAACGCCAAGTCCCAAATCTTAGTTATGTGCAGTCCATATCATGTGAAGCTTTTCAGCTTAGTAAGCATCACTGTGTCATTTTAGTCTAGAATCAATAATTATGTGTCTAGTCCATTTGAGTTAGCTCATTCTAATGTATGGGGTCCAATAAAAAATATTTCATCTAATAAATATCTTTATTTAGCGTCATTTGTTGATGATTATTCTCGTGTAACCGATTGTTTCTTATGAAAACGCGTTTTGGATTGTTCTCTATATTTGAGACCTTTTGTAAGTAAATAAAAATTCAGTATGGTTGTCGTATTCATATTTCATTCTAATAATGTTTGAAAATATGAATCTGATCCCTTTTCAGCTTATCTAAGTAAAACAGACATTATTCATCAGACTTTATGTGCTTACACCTCTCCACAGAATGATGTCGCTGAGCAAAAGAATCATCATTTGTTGAAAGTCACCCGAACACTGTTATTCCGGATGAATATTCTCCGTTATTTTTGGAGTGATATTGTTCTTACTACCTGTCACCTTATTAATTGTATGTCTTCTTCTGTGTTAAATGAGCAAAGTCCCTATTCTGTTCTTTTTCCTGGTAAATCCTTATTTTTCTTATATCCTAAGGTTTTTGGGTTTGTTTGCTATGTTCACAACTTGGGCCCTAGGTTCGATAAACTTGACCCTTGGACTACAAAATGTGTATTTCTTGGATACTCCCGCAAACAGAAGGAGTATCGTTGCTATAGTCCTTCCCTTTGTCAATACTTTACTAGTGTTAATGTCACGTCTGAGGAATCTGTTCCGTATTTTCGAACACCGGCTCAGCTTTTGAATCTAGACTTTGGATCATCTCTTGCACCACCACCTCTTCCCATACTGTCAAATATTCCACTACCTACTATACTACCATCTACTTTATCACTTCGTGTATAACTCTCGTCGTCCTTGCCCATCGACTGAGGTTCCTGTACCATCTTCCTCGCCATCTCCAAATCCGGGTCCATCAGGTAATTTAAGCTCTTTATCTATTGTTCTTCGAAAAGGTACTCGTTCGTGTGTTACTAACCATCCTATTGCTCATTTGTTTCATATAATTCATTGTCTCATCTTCTCTTGTTTTACCTCTCAATTATCTACTATCTGTATCCCTAAGCACTTACAAGATACATTATCTGATCCTGTAAGAATGAAAGCTATGGAGGAGAAAATAGATGTCTTACATCATAATGAAACTTGAGACCTTGTTCCTTTATCCACTTGTAAACGAATTATTGATTGTCGTTAGGTGTATACTGTTAAATTTCTTCCAGACGTTTTTGTGGAGCGTCTCAAAGCCCGCCTTATTGCAAAGGGCTTCACTCAGACCTATGGTGTTGATTATGAGGAGACTTTCTCTCCTATTGCCAAAATATCTTTTGTTCGTATCTTGATTTCTCTGACTGCTAATCTTGATTGACCCTTATTTCAATCAGATATCAAAAATGTCTTCTTACATGGTGACTTGATTGAAGAGGTATACATGGAGCAACCACCTGGGTTTATTGCTCAGGGGGAGTATAGTACAAGTGTATGTCGGTTAAAGAAATCTTTGTATGGTTTGAAGCAGTCATCGAAGGCATTGTTTGGTAAGTTTTCATATGTAGTTTTAGAGTTTGGTCTCCTTCGCTGTCAGACAGACCACTCTGTGTTTCATAGACAGACGGATGCCGGTTATATTCTTTTGGTGGTTTATGTAGATGATATTGTGATTACTGGAAATGATTCTGAAGGGATTGCCAAGTTAAAAACCTTCATGCAAAACAGATTTCATACTAATGATTTGAAAAATTTCAGGTATTTCTTAGTATTGAAGTGGCTAGATCTAAACAAGATATTTGTTTATTCTAAAGAAAATATGTACTTGACATGTTAGAGGAAGCCGATTTGCTGGGTGGCAGACCAATTGAGGTTCCTATGGACATGAATTAGAAATTGTTGATGGATGATAGTGCACTGTTTGAGAATCCAAGTCGGTATCGCAGGTTGGTTGGAAAACTCAATTAGCTCATTATTACTCGACTGGATATTTTCTATGCAGTAGTGTGGTAAATCAATTTATGGGTTGTCTTAGAGTACCACATTGGGAGGCAATTACTCGTATTCTGAGATATCGTAAACATGCTCCCGGACTTGAGTTGTTGTATCGAGCTAATGGACACCTTAGGGTGGAAGGTTTCTCAGATGATGATTAGACTTGTTCTCCATCTAATCGGAGATTAACTACTGGTTATTGTATTTTCTTAGGAAGTAACATTGTCGCATGGAAGAGCAAGAAATAACCCGTGATTACGAGATCAGTGCTGAGGCTAATGACATATACAACGAGTGAGTTGACCTGACTACTACACTTTTTCTAAGAAATTGGGTTTCTAGTCTAACTTCTTTTACAGTTGTTCTATGACAACTAGACAGCTATCCATATCGCTGTCAATCTAGTGTTTCATGAGAAAACCAAACATATTGAGGTTGATTGTCATTTTATTCGAGACAAAATAGCAGATGAATAGATTACGACTCCATTTGTGAGATCTGAAGATCAGCTTGCGGATATTTTTACCAAAGCATTGAGTCGTACACGTCTTATAGCAATTTGTTTCAAACTTGGATTATATGATATATATAGTCTAACTTGAGGGGGGTGTTAAGAGTATTGAGGTATTGTGTGTAAATATTAGAGGGTATATATGTTTTTTGTGTTATTACAAGTTAACTATAAATACAAAGTGTTTTGTGAGAGGTAGGTTAAGTTTTGACCACTCTCTATTTCTCTCTAATATCGTGTTAGTCCTCTCTATTTCAACTTAGCAGGTCCACACTTGACTGGCACTGCAATTGAATGCATTTCACCAGAAAGAAATACTCAATGAGCCATAGTTTGTCTTAGCAATCTATTATCTACAACATAGAATCAGAACAAAACTAATATATGTCCGCAAAGATGTTACAACTGCTAAAGAAGAGATAGGCAAAAAAACCAGTAAGAAATTGAATATAAACTATAGAATAAATATTTATTCCCAAAAAAGATGAAGTAAATAGTCAATAATTTCATTCTAAAAAAGAGAAAAAGAAAAAGAAAAATCTAATCTAAGTTGATGGTTCATTTGCTTTAGGATTAGAGATGGAAGAGTATTATAAATCAACATGAATACATTAAAGGAGCAGACTAGTCAATCCAATTATACAAATGAAGTATCAAGACTGGTATCAATCTCTAATATTCTCTATACAAAACAGTTCTATCAATATGATACTGAATTGTATTCAAGAGGAGTAGGTTATGTACCAAACAATCCACGAGGCAACCAAATAATCTTCTTGACTCCAAGATATGCTTTAAGCTCATCCTCAATTTGTTCTTTAGTCAATTGAGGGTTCCTGTTTTTATTCAAGAGGCACTCTTCAGTAGTGAGGCAAGTCCCTGAAGAGAAAAGAAAAAAATGAATACATTGAAACATGACAATTACACTGGCCAGGAGGATGTCATATTTGGTATTTTGGCTTCACAGCTTCAAACTGAATTCTGGATTTATGCCGGACAGAGAAAGGCACAAATATGGCTGATGCATAACTAAATATGCTACAAATAACAGACCTTCAGTTAACCAATATGGGAAAACTGTAAATTGATTAAAGTCAATAAACATGTTGCCCTCTACTAGTACGATCCTCCAGCCTTTTAGTGGCCTCCACCAGGTATTTTAGGTTTGAAATTCCAACAATAAGTGTGGATATATTGATGTATTTAAAAATAAACAGATAATAGCCGAAGGTTGGATGATGAAATTCTCTTCCTAAGATATAAAGAGATCAGTTCCAATATTGTGAATTCGTTACCTTCTCCATCTACATGGATGCTTCCACCTTCAAGAACCATAGATTGTGGAAATCTAGGAAGCCTTTCAATACCAAGAATCTGACAAAAGGAAAAAATGTGGGAAGACATGACAAAGAACTGCAGACAAAGCATTAGCATTAAACTTGCAAAACTCAAATCTTAGAACTTGACTAACCTTCTTCGCAACGAGAAGGTCAAGACTCCAATCCTTGTAACAACCATCATCAATACCTAGGAATTCCAAAAGTAACAAAATCGAAGTCATTTCCATTAATAAGGACACTCAAATAGTCAAATCAAAAGAGATACATTTCTCAGGCTTGAAAGTCTTATAATGTCATAAAATAAAATCCACAACCATTTATTAGCAACTGATTCAAACATCAGATAAAGTGACCACTATATTAACACTGATTGGTATGTTACATCTGGTATCAAACAAAAGAAAATGTATTAAAGGTAATCCAAGCACCACATAAGTATAAGCTTAAGCTTCAGTATCACAAATTTTATTATGCTTCCAACAATAAGTAAATCTTAGTTTGATTATCATTTGCATTGGCTAGAGACCAAAATAGAATAAGTGAAACTCTACCAGTTTTAGCCTGAATTGTTGAATAGAGTCATACCGTTATAAAAACGAAATGACATTATAAATGATCAGAAATGCAACAGAATAGCACAACTCTGCATCAAGTTATGATAACCAGTGAATCTGGGAAAAAATTAGCAAACTAAGAAGCCAGTTGATGATGTAAGGTCACTGGATAAATTCATACCATACAAAACACTATCAAGTTCATGATAGAGATCAGAAATGTATATACAGCATTACCACCCCAACTATTGAAGCGCCAATCAATTCCTGCAACCTTCTGCTCCAGATCCCCTGAACTCGATTTATCCTTTTTCACCACAAACTATCCACACAAAGGTCAACACTTAAGAACTTAAAACACAATTTTCCATAAAAGAAATACAATACTCCTAGAAGAAACAGCAACAATGAAAGTATGCTCCAAAGTAAGAAGGAGAGAAGCTCACAGTTGGCCCAGTATCACGAAACCAAGAATCATTCATACTCATCTCAATAATCCTGATACTCTGCGGTAACTGTCTGCGCGCATTGGCCCACTGTCGGACAACCACTTTATAGTCAGATTCAATAAAGAACAACATTGCACAGGTAGTATAGCAAAAGATTTCCACTCCTTACAACAATCACCAACCTGAGAAACACTAGCACATACAGTGACGGGCTCAAACTTCGATATTGCAGTTGCGACCTTAGCAAATACATGTTGAGCATGCACTGCATTGTCTCGCCAGTTATCCGGACGCTCCTGCAGTTTCAAGTGAAACATGAGTAACAAAACATTATCTGAACAGTATCCTAAACCTCAAGCCCATCAAAATCTTGCTTGTTCAAGCAAAATGTAAAACACTTTTAACAATTGATAAAATATTAAAAAGTGAGTGGAAAATGAAGTACCAAGTGCAAGCACGAAAATTGGGGAACTCTTTTTAAAGGAAAGGAGGAATGAACTAGAATAGGAAAACCCCTTCACAAAAGGGAAAGGAAAAACAAGTTTAACAAATGCATTACACAGTGTACATTAAATTTATGAACCATACATAATGAAGAAGTATATCAGCTCTTTTTAAGATAACTGCAAGGTTATCACATAGTGTTTGCTTGATCTAAATGATAACCATTATCAGAAACAAGTACAGGCAAATTTCAATTACCACATCCTACTGCTAAACAAACTTCTGAAAACTGAAGCAAACGGTTCCATTTGGTATGATGGAAAAGTGATTGGACGGAAAAAGTGGAGGGATCGAGAATGCTAGAGGGGGATAAGGGTACACTGCCAAAAGTACTTTTAGTTAGACTATCTCCAATGGAGACCCAAACCCTAACCCAAATTTGAGTACAATAAAAGGCAAAAAGCTTGATTTGGTATAGACCTCTCCAATGGAAAAACTCATATTTTAATGAAGAGAAAACCATTTTTAAATGAGGACAAATTTAAATTTAAAAGAGGGTAAACATTTATCCAATGGAGAAACTCAAATTTTATGACCATCTCCAATGGAGACCTAAACCATTATCCAAATTTGTGTAAAAAAAGGGAAAAAAGGTTGATTTAATATAGAACTCTCCAATGGAGAAATCCAAATTTAAAAAAAGAGTAACCCAAATTTAAAGGAAGAGAAACCCTTTTTTAAATGAGGACAACCCAAATTTAAAAGAGGGTAAATATAACTATTGGATCTTTAATGGAGGGAGTAATCTCACCATTGGTGAAAAGGGTAAGGATTTGAGTCTCCCTCCAATGCTAGACTCATACTAAATGAAAGAAACCCTTTTTTAAATCCAAATTAATGGAGACTCAAATACTTACCCTTTTTTAAAGATCCAATGGTCATAGTTACCCTCTTTTAAATTTGGGTCTCATTTAGAAAAGAGTTTCTCCACATTTAAATTTGGGTTTCTCTGGTCTACACTACATCAAATTTTTTACCCGTTTTTTCCTCAAATTTGGATGGTTTGGGTCTCCATGCCGATGGTTGCAACAAATATTTAGGACGTCAATAAAATAGATTTGAGTAGGTCGTTTACTTGAAAAATCATCCAATATCGATACTACCTTCGAAGCCAAAGCACAGGCGACAGAATCATGCATCCACAAACCAAAGTAAAAATCTGTTTTGTTTACAGGATGTCAAATTTGACAATAGCAACTAAACTTTACTTGGATTCCTAAAACACACAACATAAACTACATGTGCAATACCCTATACAAACTACCCGCACATGAAAATCTAAGGCACTACCTTACATTGGATAATCAACAACTGCATATATAGTTCAGTTAATCAAACATAAAAATGGCAAAGAATCATACTAATAACCACCACAGAAAAATTATTAACATGTAAAAGATTTACTTAGTACCCATTATTCATTGGGCCATCAGAAAGCATTTCAAACACAATTAGGTAAAAGAACCAGGCATTTCTTACTACAAATTGAGTAAAAAAAAATCATGCAATTGAGGGAGTGGTCTTACAGGCCAACCAATCCAACATTGGGAGTGGCGTTCCCACTCTGCAGGCATGTGGAATCCATTGAGGGCCGGCGACCCCTCTAAATCCATCTGCTTTCTCTCTTCTCTATCTCTTTCTCTCTCGAAGTGTACAGACTATAGCATGGAACAGCATCTAAAGTGCGAAACTTACTTTTTAACCAAAAATGATTTTAAAAATAGGTAAAATTACATTCAACCCCTGAAATTTGTCACTTCATCAGAGACTCATTTAAGTATATAAAATTACACATGAACCCCTTTAACTATGTACGGATATAACACATAAACCCAACATCATTAGTATCCGTGAACAACCCGCCAAAATTGCATAATGGTAGAATATTATCTATTTATATTTCTTGAAATGTCCTTACCTTTGTTAGGACCAGTAGATCTGACCACTGATAACTAATTTGACTGTTAGAACAAGCAATATAAATATCACCCGTATGTCTCGACTCTCTCCATACTTAGTTTTGAGAAAAATATCCTACTAAAGCTCTCTCTCTCTCACAAGGCCAAACGCATTGTCTAATCTCTTTTTAGTTTTTAAATTAATGTTTGATATCTTATTATTTGGTATTTTTCAATGAATTGCTAAGCTCAAAAAATGAATTCTTCAAGCAATAGTGGATCAAATGGAGGTTTCGATGGACAGTAGTTGTATTTCAAAAATAAAAGGTATAGATGTGAAAAATGAGTCATTATAAGGATATCTAAATCACCACAAAATTCGGAAAAACTGTAATTTAGTTGTCCTGAGTGTAATTTTTTTTAGTGGTGAAACCCACATAACATGAAAATCAAAGCCAAAGAAAGTATCAATCCTGCTAAAGTCTTCAACCAAATGAAGGTTACAGTAGAAGAGTTCAACTAGTTTACGGCCACGACAATTTACTGAGGTTGCTAGTGGCATCAAATGTGATCATGTCTGTAGTATTACTTTTCACTCGAATCTTGATAATTTTGTTGAAACAATGTATAAAATTATCTAAATCAGAAAATATTCAAGGTTTTTTTTTCCGATGTTGTTGGTTTTAATCCAAGCCATCTAGCCTTATTGTAGCCCAATTCGGATGTATGTTTTGACTAAAACAAACAAATTCAAAAAACCTCCAATTTTTTGCACAAAAATCCTAACTGATTCTGCTATTTGATCCACTCATTTAAATCCTCAAATAAGTGATTCTGATCTCAATCATGACATGCAAATCTATCTTCAACCAATACCCTAAAACTGAATACGCAGCTTCACCATGCTTGAAAAATCTTTGACAGATTTGGTTCTTCAGCGTTTCAATGTCAATTTCCGGAGAGTGTTTCTTGGATGAGGAGACCAAAAACACAAGATCAAAGGCGGGAAACACAAGTTGTGTGAGAGAGAGATGAGCATTTCTTGGATGAGCAACAAATGCGAGAGGCACACCAAAAGGCGGGACATCAATGGTCTCTAGGCGAGAAGTGGTCCAAGAGTCAAATGGGCATTTTAGTAAATGAACATAAATCTGAAAATATCATTGGACAATTTCATCTTTTCATCATTTAGGTTAGCTCCGTTAGCAAAACGTCACTAAAAAGGGGGGTGTGTGTAATTTCGCATACTTAAAGGGGTCTATTTAATTAAATAACAAATTTTAAAGGGTTTAAATATAATTTTCTCTTAAAAATATTGTGAACCAGTAGCGTTGAAGGGCCTCAAAAACCACGCGAGACGAAGAAAAGGACACCAAACGGACCCACAACAACATTTTATTCAGCAAACGCAGGACTAAAGGAATCTTGTACAAACAGACATATCCTGACGTGCATTAATAATGTATTGAATCTGTGCATGATTCCAGCGCAATAAATGAACAGACATCTTTTTGGTGAATTCAAAATTACTTGAAAAGTTAATAATTCCATAACAAATGAAAATGAGAATATAATATAAGGAATGATGATGTATTATTTTTTTCACAGTGTGCACAATTTTGGCACGTCGAGATGAACTCTGCCACTCAAAAAAGAATGTTAAAAAAGGTGTTAGAGTGTTTTTCAACGTGACCTATCCGACAACCAAATCAGTATGTGAGAAAGAGATGAGAATTCACTGATTTATTACTTGGGTGAGAGTGTGCATACCTTTGTTTTGTATTTGTGAGAGCTACTTATACATCTATTGAGGTAATTATTGCGGATAGATGAGTCCCTTGAAGAGGAAATCTCTCATTGGCTATTTTGGGAGGCGGCTTGCGGAGTTTAGTCATAAGGTAGAGTATCTTCCTTGTCACATGAAAAGAAGCCTTTGCATTTAATGCTCAGATCGCCGAGCATTTAATGCACCCCTCCCAGAGTCCGCCGAATAATAAATATGTATCATCCGTCTAAATGGTTATTTAATGCTTCTTTGTAATGACTACGCATGAGTAGGGTCATCTTTGTCTATTGGGCCTCAATTTTGTGCTTTGAACCTCGTGTATCATTGTCTTTGATTATTCACCTTCTCTTTATGTCATTCTGACTACTTTATGCTATTTTAATCATTATTTCGACACTAAAAAGTCAAAGAGAGTTGGGGAGAATAAAGGGAGAGATCTTTTGACAGATTAACACAGAGAATCGCATCAAAATGCGTTAGGATCAAAGTCTACATGAATTAAGATAAGGTCGTCTTCTTAAGTTATTTCTTTAAGACTTTGGGGTATTATTTATGTATATTTTGAATTTTCTTGATTACAATATGTTAAATAACTATTTGTTCTTAATTTCTTTTCATTTAACATGTGGATTTCTTTTCGTAAAACACTCTTTATTTTTTGATCATGTCGTAAAACACTATCACTAGTATTTTTTTGATCAAATTTTATCTCGAACCAATTAAATCTCATCATATTTTAAGTTTAGTGTATTTTTATTGAACTAACTTTAAATTATTTCTCGAGTTTCGTGAAAAAAATTCTAATTGTATTTATTTTAGTCATGCGACGCTCGATTGCCTTATAAAATGTGAAAATTTCAGTTGTCTTAAAATTCGACAAAAATTAACTGGTTGGCTAGATTTTGTGAGATAAATCCAACGATAAAATCTATTTCGTCATTTGAGTTCTAAACAATTTTACGTTTTTAATCCATACTGTTTTGGCTAATTCCCATTTCGCCATTCTTACGAAAATTTTAATTTTTCCCGAGTTTTACAAAGTTTGAGAAAAATGCCTCTAAATATTATTTTCAAAGTTTTCTAGCTATCCTCAAACAATTTTTTGTTTTATTTGTCACCTAATATGGCTCATAGCAATGCACTTAAACTTTAATTTAAAAATGGATGCACTACAATTCAAACCAAAGTGTGATTACTATGATTAACAACAGAAAAATTTTAAAAAAAATCTAATTTTTTATTTTCTAATATTCTTGTATTTTTCAAAATACCCTAAACATAAAATATATGCATAACATGCAATAATAAAGGAAAAGTAAAGCAATTACCAATAAATTCTACAAGGATGCCTAATTAGACATCAAAACTCTTTTTAGATTTTCCATTTTTATTTTTTGTATTTTTTAATGTATGAAACAAGCAAAGATTTTTAGATATATGTAACAAAATGAAATTTAGAATATCTAAAAATGACTCCTAGGGTTTTTCATTGAAAACATTTTCTAAACCTTAATTTGTTTTGAAAAGACTGTTTGATTAATTTATCAAACCCTATTTGAGCAACACCCTTTAGGGCTTAATAGGTCAAGTTTTTAATTAGTTTCTAACTTAAAAACTCTTAGGAATCACTCTATGTTCACTAGTCTTTGCTAGATTAGTTTCTAAAACATTTAGGGAGCCAAAGCTAGAGAACCCGGTGGAGACCAATTGATGACTGCCAGCCACCAGTCAAGCGGCTTGCCACCTAGAGGTGTAGAATGACTTATCTTTTACTCTAGAAACCATCGCCCTCCCACTGTTCTAGCGGTCGACGCAAATCTGTGTTTTCTTGGTCTCCAAGACAAACCTTATTATGTGTCCTATATATATTGGGTTGTCTTAAACTTAGGGTAAGCTTCCATGAGCTAGAATAGACCAAAAATCGTTCTAGAGTGCTTCAAGAACAACCCTAGATCTGTAGGACTAAAGGCCAACCATATTAATTCTTCTATTCAACCTCACACATTGAAGAAGAAGATCTTACCAAAACCCACTTAGAGAAGTGTGTATTCTAAGACTCTTGGGTGTGAAGTCTTGAAGATTGCTCGAGGTCTAGAGGATCCATTGCAGTGGAGAATCCAAGTGAAGTCACCCATAATGTTGAAGACAGAGTTTCGATAGAGAGATCTATGAAGGAAAACAATATCTAACCATGTGGATTGGTTGAAGTATAAGACTCGAGTACTTATAGATTGACTTTAGGTTTAATGGATTAGGCCTTGGTGAATCAACAAGGTTCTCTATAGTTTTTTCGGAGAAGGGTTTCTGCGTTAACAAATAACACTTGTTCTTTATTGATTTTATTTGCTTGTACACTTGCAATGTTGCACATATGCATACTATGTGTTTGATGAATTGATTGTTTATCTTGCAAGTCATTCATATTGGTTTTTGTGATTATGGATTTGGTTGGGATCAAAAGGAGATTTTTTATCTTGCAAGTCGTTTACACTTTTAATAGGTTGTGCATGTTAAAAGGGGTTGTCATTTAAATTACCATATTTTTTGTGAGAAGATGTAAATATGGTAGATTTATGTGAAAATTAGAGGTCATCCAAGCTTGATTTTAATTTAATCTATTCACCCTCCTTTAGGTCTAGCTTGCGATTCCTTGTGTATAATCAAGTGGAAAGATCCTATAACAGAAGTGTTGTACTTTCGCCACAATGATAAATCCTATGCTGCCAATGACTTAGTCCCCATTGCATGATATGTCATGCTATTTTCATAGGGCTAAGTTCCTTACGCATTCACTCAAGTGCACAAATATCAATGCACTTCCTAAAACTCTCAAATTTAATTGCATCTTAGGGTTTTGTAAGAAGATTGACCAATTCATCTTGAGTCTAGACATATTCTAATGATATGACCTTGTTCTCTACAAGCTCTC